GATCAAAGACTCTCAAAGGAAGCTGAAAACTCAGAGGTCCACAGAGGCCTGACTGTGGCCATAAGGGAGCGGGATGGGCAGTGGGGGCCATGGAGACCTAGAGACCCACGCGCTGGGTGCAGGGACCCACTGGGGACGGGCCCCAGGCACAAACGGCTCACATCGCTAGCACCCCAGCTCGTCCAAGACTCTTTCTATTGGGAACACCTCGGGACTCCGGAAAGCCCAGCGGCCCAGCCATGCACAGCACGAGCGCAGAAATCAGGGAGCTCCCCATCTGTGCACACAGCCTGGGTCCTCAAGGAGTTGGGGGGTGGCCGGGTTGGTGAGGGCGGTGGGTGGTGCTGGTGCCAAGTTCAGACGCCCCTGCCAGGAGGTGCATCCATCCCCCAGCTCCCGAGGGTGTCCCCGCTCACCGCCACACTCTACTGGGGAAGCATCCTGGAGCACCTAGAAATACCAGGAAGGTGCACGCGATGTCCCACCCGCACCCCGGGGGCCGCCTGGCCCTCTGAGGGGCCCGCCCATCTGGACTCCAGCTCCGCGCGCGTGCGTGTTCTCACTCTCCAGAGCCCTGGCGTTGCGCTGAGATTAGACGACTCCTGCAGCCAATGCTTGCTTGTGCCTTCCACTCCCACTCCCTGCTTCCCTCCCTCTGACCCCTCCAGCTCCCTCCTGAGAGCGCCCTCGGTGAACCCCAGGCTCCCAACCCCATCTCAGGCTCCGCTTCTGGGGAGCAAGCGCAGCAGCCAGGCGCAGTGGGAGGCTGGGCAGAGGCAGCAGGGACCTGGGCGCAGCTGCTGGCGAGAGGAGGGACGGCCAGGCGGAGAAGGAAGCTGCTGGGGAGAGGGCCCTGCACGTCCTGCACTCTCCATGGGCAGTGTCAGAAGACACTAAGTGGAAGGATAGCGTCAATGTGGAGAAAAACTGGGGCAAAGGCATTACCACCATCTTCCCTACGAAACTCCAGAGCCAGCCAGTCTGCAAGACTCACCAGGGCCTGCGGGGCGGGAGGCTGCGGCTCGCACAGGCCGGCCATGCGCAGCCTCTCCCACCTGCTGCCTACCCCTCTCCTTCCTTCCCTCCTTCCCTCCTTCCTTCCTTCCTTCGTTCCATCTGCTCTCTTTCTCCAGATCGTTTTCCAGCTCCTGAGTTCTTCCAGGTCTTGTTTACAGTAGACTTGATATGCGCAGAATCTAGAATTTCTTGGAACCCCAAGAGAGGAATAGAAGACAAGGAGCTCTGGAAAAGCCCAGGAGAGGAAGGTGCTGAGTCAGACTGCAAACCTGAGCAGGCTTCCGGGAGGAGGAAACCCAAAGCTGCTGTGAGGGAGGAGGGCGTGGCGTGACCTGGGTAAAGGGGAAGGCTGTCGTTTTTATTGGCAGCACCTGATCTGTCTCCTCATGGCCCCACACGTCTCTCAGAACCTCTGCTTTACCACCCAAGGGGCCGTCTTGGCAGAAGGAGGTGCCCCCCCCACCAAGGAGGCCCTAGGCACCGGCTTCCCCACTCCTGCCCCACAGCAGCCCAGACGGGTATGGGTCTGAGCCGGCTGGTCCGAGGCTCCGGCCCACGACTCTAGGTCCTCAGAGAGCCACCCCAAAGCTGCGGACGGCTGAGAAGGGAGCCACTGGGCAAGCAGGTCAGGCAGGTGACCATGGTCCCTGCCAGCTCTCCAAAGAGCCCTGCAGACCGGCCCTTTTTCTTTGTAAACACAAAGCCTACTCACTTTCTGTCCCTTTCCTCTCTGCAGGCATGTATCTGTAAACTCTAAACAGTATGGTCTGACTGATCTTGCATTTTATACAGATGTACCCTTTCTGTACCTTGCTTCATCTGGCTCAATGCTATATTTTTTTAGATCTCTCCATGTTGACATTAGTAGCTCAAATTCCTTCATTTTAATAGCCATATGATTATTCCTAAAGGTGACTAGCACAGAACTGTCCAGATGAACCACAGATTTGAAAGCTCATGTTTTAAGCAGCTGAGTTTTGGGTTGTTTGTCACACAGCAGCAGCTAACTGACACTGACAATAGGTGACTTCAGGGCTGCACTACTACAGACAGCCGCAAAACCAGCGTCTCTTGGTGCCCATGCGTACGAGCAGTTCTCCAACCTTCACAGAGTGGTGTCACCATAGAGAGACTGCCTGTCGCAACTGGCCTGGGTTTCCTGGCTGCTTTCCAAACTGCCCCCAGTGGTTCCGTGGGCTCCCAGCATGCCGTCAGTGAATTCCCACACCCTCGAGTCAGCCAGATGAGAAGAAGCACCCAGCTGGCCATGGACTTGCAAGCAACGGCACACGGTGGCTGTCTAACTTCGTTTTCAGTGGCTGTCACAAGAGAAGGAACACGGAACTCCACAGCAGTGACACTCGGGCAGGTGTGTTAGAGATGCGCAGGCAGAGTGACTGCCAGAGCTGCCGTAACTCCTCGGCCTGGAGCCCGGGTGCCTGCCTGCAGCCCAGCTCTCCCGCTGGGTGTCACGCCCCTGGGGCTCGGTATCTCGTCTGAAAAGCACAAGGTCACTGACCGCTAACTCACAGGCATTTGTAAAAGCTGTGTGATGATAGGGTCTGGCACAGTTGTTACATTTGAACTCTTCCCCGAGGGGCTCAGCAGCCTGGGATAAGCCCTGTCACTTTCTGGACCTCGTCACCCACAATCTGGGAGTAATCACCTCTCCCACAGAAGAATTCGTGGAGTAGGTGACAGAACAGATGTCAGATGTTGTATCAGGAAGGATGCCTTTGTTGCAAGTAAAAGAACACCCCATCTTAACTAGTCTAAATTATAATGCGAATTTATTAGATCATGTAACAGAAATTCGAAAAGTATATGGCTTTGGGCATGGTTTGATCAAGGCTCCAGCTTTGTTTCTCTGATTCTGCCTCCTCCACAGCCCTTTGTTGGTATGGCCCTCAGGGTGGCTTGTCCCCATGCACTGGTTGGCTTAGGCATGGTACAGACCCATCACTACAAAAAAAGGGATGAGACGGTGCCTCCTGGCCGAGCCGTGCTCGTAGTGGGGTAAAGTGAAGACATCGCCTCCAACACATCATGGTCCCTGCTCAGTGGGGGAGGGCAGGATTAGGTGCTGCAGAGGTAACAGCGAGGACCCTGACAGGTGCTCAGCCCTATGACAGACACATTGGTTAAGGTACTACCTCCTCCATCACTGGAATGTCCTGTCTGGGCCTCAGTTTCCCTTCCAGTAATACAAAGGGCTTCCTGAATGGTGCCTCTAGGCCTCCACCCCACCCCAACTCCCATAGCCCAGGTCTTGGTGGACCAGTCTGAGCCTTAGGTGGAAGGCCAGAGCCCACTGCTCACCACTCCATGGGCAATGCTTCTGAGCAGAACAAATTACTAGGGCGTTGTTTCCCATTCTTTTTCAGGGTGAATAATTTCCAAGAGCTGACGGGGGTGGGTGAATAATCTCCCTGCCCTGCCAAGCCCTTTCTGAGACTATAATTGCATTTCGCGACAGTCCCAGTCGGGGCCTCAGCCGGAGCAGGATGTGGCAGACTCCAGCTCACAGATTTGCAGCCATCTGTCTGCGGCTGCTGGCCACTCCTGCCCTCGGCCTACACTCGAGCCTCTAGGCTGCTGCAGCGCCGGGAGTTTCGACCCGGCTCCAGCACTGCTCCACCCACCAACACCGCTAGCCGCACCTGCTAGTTAAATTACGGTCCAATCCTCGTTGCACTAGCCACGTTTCAAGTGCTCGGTGGCCATGTGGCCAGTGGCCAGTATGTTGGACAGTGCAGACACGGCATATTTTCGTCACTGCAGAAGGTGCTATCGGCCAGCCCCTCCCCAACAGAATTCCAGCCAGTCCCCTCTCCCTTCTCCCTTTGATGTACACTCTGCCCTGGCCAGCGCTGAGCCTCGGTTTCCTCCTCCATAAAATGGGGATGACAGTGCTGACCACAGAGGGACAAACACACGAGGCACGGGCTGTCAAGCGCTGAGCCCAGGGCGAGCAGCGACTGGAGCACAGTCTGGGCTCAGGCTCCGGCCACTCTGGGGCGGGAGGATGGCACAGGGGAGGAGGCCTCCAAGCAGGCTTCGCATGGGAGATGCGGTCGGCTGTCCGGGTCACAGTCATCCCTTCTTTCTGTGGGACTAAAACACACAGTCCCGCGGAACAAATGACCACTGGTCCATGCTAATCACAACACTCGTAAGCATTTGCCTGCAACTGGCCAAGGGGGACCATATGACATCAGGGGACATCTGTTGAAGGGTTGTGGGAGATGTGTCCCCCATAATAACAGAGAAGCACTGGGGGAAAACCCTGTGCGCCCTGCTCTCTCTCCTTGTTTTGACTCTATGGTGCCTGGTGCTGTGGCAGCCACGTTGGGGCCACGAAGCACAACCCTGAAGGGGAAGGTGAACACCTGAGGGGAGAGCTGGGCCCTGGTGTCGCGTTGAGCCCCTGCACCAACACTGCCCTCCTCATCTCTGGGCTTCTTGTAAGGCAAACATAAATGTCCTCGATGGGCGGGTTTGGGGAGCCACAAGTATCCTGAGTGAGCCTCATCCAGGGGTGAGTTGGGGTTTGCTAGGTGGCAAGAGGCAAAAGTGCCTTCAAGCCAGGAGAACAGTATGCTGGGGGCGCAGAGGAGTGGGGCGAGGGCTGCGTCGGGGGCGAGAGAGGCAGGCGCGGGAGGCCGCAGGCGCGGCGGGCGAGGCGAGGGGCTCCCCGCCTGGCGGTGGCGTTTGGGCGAGGCGAGGGGCTCCCCGCCTGGCGGTGGCGTTTGGGCGAGGCGAGGGGCTCCCCGCCTGGCGGTGGCGTTTGGGCGAGGCGAGGGGCTCCCCGCCTGGCGGTGGCGTTTGGGCGAGGCGAGGGGCTCCCCGCCTGGCGGTGGCGGTTGGCGTTTGCGCTTCCGCCTGCGTGCGGGGCGGGGCGGGGCGGGGCGGGGCTCCGGAGGGCTAAGGAGTGGTTTGAGTTACAGATGAACGGGGGAGGGGTTGGGGGACAGACTGGGGGTGGCCAGGTGGGGGCCCAGAGTGGGAGGCCAGGGTGGGCAAGAGGGTGCTGGGGACTAACGGGCAGGTGAGGAGGGAGCAAGAGCAGAGGTGAGGCAGGCCCTGAGGACCGCGCCCCGAGGCGGGCACCTGAGCAGCGAGAGGGAGCAGAGGGCATGCTCTGAGAAGAACAGGGACGACCGCAGACAGGAGACCCAGGAGGGCCGGGCACCTGTGTCCAGTGCTGCGGAGACGGCCAAGCGTGGGTGCCGCCCCCACAGTACAGCCAGAACCCTCCCCACCGCCCCTCCCACCCAAGTCCTCACCACCTGCCCTGGAGCTGCTTTATGGCAGCAGCTTCCTGCCACCCCCCTCGCTCCCAGTCTCCATTCCCCCAGGGCAGCCAAGGGGAGCCTGGCCACACCTAAGCCAGTCACACTCCTCCTCTGCTCCACACCCTCCCATGGCTCCCACGTCCCTCAGAGCGAGAGCCAAAGTCTGCACCCCCACCTCCGATGTTCTAGAGATCTGCCACCCTCACCCCACCCCGGCTCTCCAACCTTGTCTCTCCCACTTTCCCCTGCTGTGTTTCAGCCATGCTGGCCTCCTTGCTGCTCCGTGAGCAAGCCAAGCCTATTCGCACCTCAGGGCCTTTGCACCTGCCCTGCCCACTGCATGGAACATGCTTCTTTGAGACTTTGCAAAGCTCCATCCCTCCCCTCTTCAGTGAGGCCTTTCCTGGCTGCCTTGTGCAACACGTCCCCAGCCGCAGCACTCTGCACCCTCTGCCTTGAGCATTTCCCTCCACAGCGTGTATGTGAAGAGTCCTATATACGTGCATGAACTGTGAATGCTGCTGTGTCTGTCAGCCCGGGCCAGCTCCAGTGTCTGCTCTGCTCACCGTCGTGTCCCCATGCCTAGAAGAGCACCTGTCCCAGGGTAAGCGGGCAATGAAATTTGTAGAATGAATGAGTGAGTGAGGGCCAAGTATGGTAGGGACTGCAAAGAGACCTCTCTGAGTCAGGCAACGAGTCCAGAAAGTGGGGGTACAGAGGCCAAGGCAGCAGGTGTAGACCACTCATTTAGGAGGCTTGGTGGTGAATGGAAAAGAGAAACGGTAATCGGCAAGGAAGTGAGGAAGTTATTTTTCAGACGCACATTATTTGAGCAAGTTCAAATGCTGAGAGAAGAAGCCAGTAGACAGACAGTTCAAGACCCAGGAGGTAACCGATGAGCCTGCCAGAGAGGTGGGAGGGGCAGACCAGAGCCTTGGAGGCAGATCCTGCAGTGCCTTTGGAGGGGACAGGAGGCAGGTGTAGGAGGAGATTCGCTTACTAATATACGTCTGAAAGTGGTCCCTGTAACGGGTAAGGCATATAGGCATATGCACACTAACAAAATTCAAAGTGGTTTGGTTCATCCAAGGGGGGGGGGTGGTGGCCACTTATATTCCACATAAACAGAATAGTCAGCAGCGGCATCTGGCAAACGTTTATCAGGGCCCACTCTAGCCAGGCACTGGACCCAGGCACCAGGAAAAGTCTGTTTGTGATGTCACAGCTAAGTATTAGGAAAACTGAGATTCTCTTTCCAACATCCCCTCTTGAGGGACAATGGGAATCATATCAATGTTGTTATTTCCTCTTTTATTTGGCTACTAGGAAGCTCAAAGGCAAATTTGCAGGTCAACTTGAAAAACTGTAGAATTCTGTGGCTCACGTGGTGCATTCTTACTTCCCTTCCAGACTTGATCTTTAGATTTTTATTTTGCCCTGCCCTGAAGCTTTCATTTGTCATTGCATTTGTTTGTGGGCCTGTACTGCATAGAAAACCTAAATAACAGTAGCTTAAAACATGACAGTGGTTTGTTTCTCTCTTATAACTAGAAGCCAGGAGGTGTACAGACCAGGCCTGGGCAGCTACTCAACATTATCCTCAAGTACTTGGGCTCCACTCCACTCTACTCTACCTTCCTTCAGGTATGACCTTGTTCTCATGCTTGCAAAGTAGCTACAGAGTTCCAGTCATCACATCAATATCCCTGGGAGAAAGGGAAACAGTTACCAGGGAACAAATGACAAAACGAGTTTCCCAGAAGCCCCTCGCAGCAACTTTTACTTAGAATTCATTGGCTAGGGCTGTGTCGTGTCCACTCCTAGCTGCATGGGAAGCTGAGACATGTGTAGTAATTCTTAACCTGGACATAGTGCACCTCTGAATAAAATTGGAGCCCTATTATTGAGAAGAGGGGGAATTATGTATTGGCTAGGTAAACAGCAATGTCTACCATGGTTATCTATATTTTTCTCTTTCATCCCTCATAAAATAAGAAAACACACAGATGTTGGAATGAAGCATATGTAAGCCCTACAGTTTCTGGCTCTGTGTCTCTCTAGCTTGTGGCTTTGTCTTCAGTTTCCAGAGCAGAGCCTGGTACATAGATGCACTCAACAAATATTTGTTGACTGGAGGAGCCAAGCCCCTCTGGTATCTCCATGCCAGAGGGTGCCCTTCCTCCCATTTCACAGGGAAGGAAACAGACTCTTCTCCAGACCTCAGAAGCCGCCCGTGCGCAGAGTCACTGGGCTGAAGGCCTGGCCTCGCAGAGGCGATGTGCCGACGGGACTGTAATGACTTGCCCGAGCCCACGGAGCAAGTCTATGGCAGAGACTAGAACCTGGGTCTTCACAAACATATCTCAGCTCAAACCTGGTCCAGACAAAACTCAGCCCCGCAGGCTGTCTGAAACAGGGCTCCGCATTCCCCGAGACACCAGAATCCCATTCCCACGGTGGCCTTCGACATGGGGCTCTGTGGGGTGGGAGAGCAGAGTCGTCTTTGAGTCACGAGGCTGCCATAAGGTCGGGGGACTGGAGAAAAAATTAATAATAACTTTCGATCAAATTCAGGGTGAAACCAGTAAACAATGAACTTGAGGAGCGGGAGGCATTGTTTTCCCCTAAAAGTCCATTTCCCTGGGTCAAAAACGTTTTCGGCAGGACTGTTTTCCAGTAGACCATGAAGACCTGAACATGCCCAAAATATGTAATCCCGTAACAAGTGCCGGAGAAACCCCACGTTGGCGCCCTGACAAGTTGCCGCCCGAATCACAATACAGTTTCAGCCCCCGGAGAGGAGTCAAAGTCCCTCAGCTATTAAAATGTGTTATTTATGGCTTACAGAAAGTCTTCCAGACCCCTGACAGCTCAGGAATGAGCTCAGAAATTAACTCTTGATAACATCAGGGTCAATCTGTCTCTCTGGATTTTTCTCTGAAAGGCGTGCACTGAAGGGGTTTTCACTCAAGGCACAAAGGAACGGCAGAGGGAGCCGCGTCAGCCCCGCAGGATCAGCCTTCTGACTCATCCGTCCTTTCTGTGAAGGCAGAAGAACTTCTCATTCCACTGAAGGTGGCAGGAGGACAGGAGAAGCCAGGAGGTGCCCAGCGCTGCAGAGCTGACATGGGAGTGCTTCTAGAGACCACCTCATCCCACAGAGGCTCAGAGAGGGGGTGAGACCTGGCCACTGTCACACAGCAAGCCTGTGCACCAAGGCTGTGGGAGGGGACAGAAACCAGAATCCCAGTTCCAGTACTGCCCTCCTGGAGGTCCTTGCCAAAGTTCCAACTCTGCTTGGTGCCTCAGTTTTCCTCTCTGTAAAATGGTTATGGATGGAGGCCAATGTATTACAAACTATTTTTAGTGACTGAACCCTTATTTATTTTTCAAGCAAAATCACTGAAGGAAACTCCAAGACATAAAAAAAAAAGTCAAATGCAGTGGTTTTCCTCCCAGCCCATCTACCACTGATGCTAACAGACCCCAGAACTCTGGGCTCCATAAAAGATTGTCTGGACTTTAGGCATGAGCTGAACACTGAGAGGCACGTGGGTCCTGGGTCCTGCAAAGTGGGGAAGTCAAGCCTTTGCCTGGAGCTGGGTTCTGACTATGCCAGCGCCCTCCCCTCCATGCCCTCCCACTGCAGGGATGGGACCCTGCTGGGAGGGAAGAACTGGCCCACCCTGCCCTCCCCATGCAGGGGCTCCTTGCCCCTACTGGCTTAACCCTCCCAGGAGCCATCCTGTCCAGGTTAAAGCTCGGAAGCCGTGGGAAGCCAAGCGCTGGTTGGACGCAGGAGACTTCTGGTTAAGTCCTGTGTCTTTTACTAGCTCACTGGGTGACTTTGGTCAAGTTACTTTCCCTCTTTGGGTCTCAGTTTTCTCTATAGATACAATGACAGAGAATAGATAGGTCAGGACTATTTTAGTTGCAAAAGGACATCCAATTTGAGCTGGCTTTAAACAAATAGAGACATGTAATACACACACACCACATAAGCGGAAAGCTCAAGGGTGGATTCCAACCCAGGCAAGGCTGGATCCTGGCTCCAGAAGTCATCACTGCTGTCATCCCTGTGGCTTCCTCCTCGCGCAGGGTTCCCCCGTGCGGCAAGATGCCCGCCGGTAGCTCCCGCCAGCTGTGCAGCTCCAAGCACAGCAGAAGGCAAGAATGCTGTTCCCCTGATGGCACCAAGCAAAATCTCTGGATTGGCGCTAATTGGCCTGTCTTACACCATGTGACTATCCCTGGGCTCCAGTCACCGTGCCCAGTCGGGGCATGCTCTTCTCCGATTGGCCAATCCTGAGTCACATGCTTACCTCTGAAGCCTGGAGTGATAATCCACTCCCCTCCCCAAGCCAAAGGATAATAAAGAAATCTTCCCTAAGTAGGCAAAGCGGTGCTGGGTAGGCCAAATGCACAGATGCCCACTAGCGAGAACCCCCAAGTCTCCAACTGTTTAAGCCATGGAACCCCATCCTCAAGCTACAGCTCACTGAGGTCCCCAATACCTGATGCAGAAGAAAGTTCGAGTGCTTAGGTTGGGAGAGCTGGGTGGTCCCGGCCCCTATCCACAGCTGCCTTTCCTCTCCTCCACAGGGGCGACATGCCTCCCCTGTGCCCGCCAGGCGGCAGCGCACTCCCGCTGGGGTGCCGAGGGCCCATTCACTCCCCAGATATCTCAGCTTTGGGGGCTGAGAATCAGGGTCTGTACCACCAGCGACAGCCTGAGTCAGGGACACAGTGCTGACCTGCACCTTCCTGCCAACAGAGCCCAAGGTCGTCTCACCTACCCTCCTCGCTGACCGCTGTAGACTTCTTCAGCAAGCAGTCTCCCCACCCTCCCCTGCCCCCATGAAAGCAGTGCTCACTCTTCACACACTAGGTGTTATTGCTTATTTAGTCTTCACTCAAGCTCAACAGTGTGCTTGTGAGAGCAGAAATGGTGCCTATTTTCATCACTGTCCCCAGCCTAGTACAAAAAGTCTCTATAAATATTAGACAGATGAGTGGATGGATGGATGGATGAGTGGGTGGGTGGTGGGTAGATGGATGGATGGGCATATGAATGGGTCAAAGGACTGGTGGGAGAGTGAATGGGTGGATGGATGGGTGGTGGGATGAGTGGATAAGTGGATATGTGGGTAGATGGATGAGTAGGTGGATGGATGGTGGGTGGTTGGGTGGGTGGATAGATAGGTGAGTGGGTCAGTGGGTAGGCAGATGGGTGGTGGGTGGGTGGATGGATGGATAGTGAGTGGGTGGGTTGATGGATAGATAAATGGACAGTTGGGTGGATGGATGGATGGATGGATAGGTGAGCAGGTCAGTGGGTGGGTAGATGGATGGATGGGTGGATGGATGGATGGAGTGGCGGGTGGGTCATTGGGGGGTGGAGAGATGGGTAGATGGATGAATGAATGGAATACATATCTTCCAAGATAGCCCTTCTCTTCCCCAGAAACTAAGACTGGGAACAAATATTAACTGAGACAGAGCTATTAACCTCCTTCCATGTCAGACACATACACATAGAAGGTCCCCAGACCACAGACTTTCCTTTCTCCCCCCACCTTCAACCATTTCAGGGCAGCCCTGCAGACACTGGGGGAAGTAATGACCAGGACCCGTGAGTCTGCCTCTCCAAGCTGAGTGACCCAACTCCTCCAATGAAGGGAAGTCTCTCTTGAAGGGAAGACTCATGAAGGGAAGTCTCTCTTGCCTGGCTGTCCCCTCTGGGCCCACGCCAACCTACACCTGTCCTTTTCTCAAGGATCTCAGCTATAGCATTTTGGGGGTTCTACAGAGTATAGAAGCAGAAGCAGCAATCACCTCCCTCCTTGTAGGCTCTATGCTTTAGGTAACGTGGACTGGGGACCACACAGGGACAGAGCTACTGACCACCACGAGCAGTGCTAAGCCATCCCTTCCAATCCTGGCCATGTGCAGCTTGAATTTTGGACCTGAGTGCTGGAACCAATGTTTATTCCTAGGCAAATTCATGTTGCATGAACCCTGCCAGCATGACAAACCCATTCTGAGTCCTCAGTCAGGGCTTTGGGCCATCTGCACCTCAGCCCGTTCTCTGAGCAGCTGCAGGCCTAGACACGGTGGCATTCCCTCCCCTCCAAAGAGGCCGTGGTGCAGGGGATGCGGGGAAAGGGGAAGGCAGCACAGTCCTCATGCTGAGTGCCTGGGTCGGACCCTGACCTGCAGAAAAAAACCTGTTTTTTTCTTTTTCTATCCCTTGCTTCCCCTCATCCTGAGTTTAGGGCTGCACTTCCCTCCAGCCAGAAGCTCCCCCAAGACTCAGCCCAACTTTCCCCAAGAGAATCACTGCCGAGTGGCCAGCACAGTGTGTTGTGTCCTTCACAGATGATGACGCTGGGGCCCTGGAGAAGACGGGCCTGGCCGCAGGTCTCCGGAACATCAGGGGCCAGGTGGGCTCCAGCTCTGGTAACACGTCCCACCCCTTGCCAGGCTTGGCTGTGCACTTGTTACACAGGGGCCAGACTTCCGGGTGGAGTATCGGCTCCGCCCCCCTCAAGCTGGGTGACTTTGGACAACGACCTCTCTGGGCTGCGTTTGCCCTGTCGTAAATGCGAACAGTCGAAGTCTCAGCGCCCACTGCACAGGTGCTACAAAGGTTAAGCGAGGTGGTCCGTGTACAGTGTGAAGAATGGTGCCCACACCTGGAAATGGGCAGGAACTGCACGTTTTCACTAGGTGCGGTGGACAGTGCTGGGCGCGGCAAACACTTTCTCGCCTGCCTTCCTCACCACACCCCGGAAAGTGCCCCCGCCTGCAGCTGGGGAGACTGAGACGCAGAGGGAAGCCCAGTGTGCAGCGCTCCCTGCCCCTGTGCGTCCTGCTGGACAACACAGCAAGGCCATCCGCCCTTGGTCACTGCCCACCTGCTTCCAGGTTCACAGTTATTCTAACTCTCATTTCCAAGCACCCATCTGGGCTTGGAGAAGCCCCGGGAATGGTGCAGACGATGGCCCTGGTTTTCCTGTCATGGAGAGACCAGGGCTGACCTTCAGCGACTACCCACCGCTGCCTGGACCTTCCGTAAGCAAACAAATACATTAAAAAGACAAATTCCCAAAGTGATCATGCCAGGTGAAGAAAAATAGGCAGTGAAGAGATGAGGACAGGGTAGGTACATTAAGCTAGGGTAGGTGGCCACGGAAAACCTCTCAGGACATACTGTTTGAGTTGTGGAGAAAAAGACAGATCAGGCTAGCTGAAGGAAGCAATCCCAACCAGGGAAAAGAGTGGTGCAAAGGCCCTGGGGCAGGCATGTGTTTGACATCTTTGAGGACCAGAGAGGTGGCTGGCACAGTAGTGCATAGAATAAACTGGAAGAGGCACAGAGCAGGAGGAGATGAGGCTGATGTTAAGGATCCCAGGAACGAAGCCACTTCTCCCGACGGTACAGCTCTTCCAAAGCAGGGGCGGATTACACTTGAAAGGGGAAACAAATGTGGCATGCATACATCATTTCTGATTCCAGAATGTTTTGCATAAAAGCTAACACACAGCTCCTGGGCACAGGCACTGTTATCAAGAATCAAACATTAAAAATGCACACTCTTTGAACGGACAATTTTGCTTCCTGACACTGATTCTAAAGAAGCAGCGTTGGATGGAGATGAAAATTCAGCTCCAAGGTGACTGGGGCATGCTCATCACAGCCGGGAAACCCCAGCAAACGCTAAGCGCCCAAGGAGGGATGGCTGCACGCGCTGCACTGCCCCAGGCTGCGGGATCTTACGCGGCCGTGTGAAACGGCATTGCAGAGAAACGCTTAACAGCACAGAAAGACACGCACCACACACTGTGAAAACGAAAACAGCTGGTCCCTTCTCTCTAAATATAAATATTCGTGTACAGGCATAAAAAGAGATTAGAAATGCTAATGTTATCTCTGTGAGCAGGAATTGCAGACAGGTGTTCTTATCCCCCTCTTGCTTATCTGAGTTTTCCCCAAAAAGTTACTTCAGGTCCCCTGAGTTAAGCTAAAAGGGAAAGTTTAGAGAGATGCATGGCTTTGTGGTTCTGTGGCCCAGAGAGGTGCAGGACTGGTGGGTGCTGGTCCGTGGCTCTGGTCACTGGAATGGGTCAGGCTGCCACCCACACCCCTCTGGCGATGCCACACCCACACTCCTGTGGGCTTGGGGTGGGGGTGGGCTTGGCCGCCCTGACCAGCGTGGAGCAGAGCGTGCAGGCAGCGCAGTGCCTTCAGGTGCCACACCCTGCATTGAAGATTGCCCCACACAGCTTCCAACCTGGAGATATTGTTGTCCCCCCTTGACATATGGGGAAACTGAGGCTCAGGGAAGGGTGCCAACCTACCCAAGGTCTCCCAGCTAAGCAGCACCAAAACTAGGACCCAAACTCAGGCCAGCCAGACTTCAGAAGACATGTGATTGGATGAGAGTGCCAACTTATGGCCAGGTTTCCACCTACCCACTCACCATTTCTCAGTTCTAACTCTGTGCCAGCCCTGTGCAGGGCAGCTCTACATATACAGCTCCCCACAGCCTCGCGACGGGAAACTAGGCGCAGAGAGGTTAAGCAACTTGCCTGAGGCAGCAGAGTCTGGGGCTCTAACACCCCACTGCACACTCCAGGCTCCACAATGAGGAAAATCCACAGGGAGCCACCTTCTGCTCAGTGGGGAAACTGAGGCATTGCGGTTGGTTGCTAGGAGCTGATGAACTGCCACCCAATTCATCACCCAGGCACCCTCCCTGCCTGACCCTCCGCAGAGTCCGAGGGCCTTGGGTGGGAACCAATCAAAGGCTTGCATTGGAGGTGCCCTCAGAACCATGGAGTTCCCCAGAGCCCAGAGAGCAGCAGTGACTTGTCCAAGGTTACGCAGCGCAGCAACAGCAGGGCAGGGTCCACGGCCCCTCCCCCAGGCACAACGGGCTACGATTAGGGGTTGTCAAGGAGAAGGAAGGAGAGAGCTCCTGTCTTCCAGGCAGATTCCTCCCGCCTGGCAATCACATCACCGGGCAGGACGCCTCGGCCCAGAGTCACCGTCCCCGTCCTTCATGACCTCATCTCTTGGCTGAGCCCCAGCACAGCGCCTGGCGCCTGGAATCAATACCTCTTGGCAGCGCCCAAGGCCCCCACCTTCCTGCCTGCTTGCACCGCAGGGCCCTGCCCGCTCTTCAACCGGACCTCGCCCCGCTCCCAGGGAGCTCACGCTGTCCCTCCGCAGCCGCGGCCACGCTGAGCTCCCCGGCCAGGGCAAGGGGCCTCCCCGACATCCCGCCCACGGGCAGCTCACACAGCTCCATGAGTCCCGTTTCTAAGCGCGGGATGAGTCCAACTTTCCGGGTGGCCGTGAGTCCCACTGTCACACACAGGGCCTGGCAGGCAGCAGGAACTTGATGACCACGAAACCCTTCCTCCCTCCAGTGCTGACACTTAATAAAGCGCGTTCAAGGCCACTGTCGCAGCGAACAGCAACTGTGCGAAGGGGGCAGGGTGGGGACTCATGATTCCGCCTGACCGATGGGAGGTGGAGGTGCGGGGAGGGGATGTGGAAGCAGGTGTTCCCTGCAGCGCTATGACTGCAACATGCCCTTGTGGCTGCGCTCAGCGCCCGGCGTGCCCCTCAGGGCATCCCCCCCCCCCGCCTGCACCCTGTTCACAGGCGGGCAAACCACCGCCCGAAAGGTCACAGGAGTGCTGAAGGCCAGACAGTGAGTCCAGGGCAGGGCTCAGGGTCCACACCCCAGGCCTGTGGGGACCAGATGTCCTCGAGGCCTGAGGCCTGGTGGAGGCTGCCACAGGACGGTCCCTCCACTGCAGCCGCCCACTCACTGGCCCTGGGCATCAGCAAGCATCTGCCACGTGCCCACCCAGTCAAGCGCCTGTGCTCCATGCCCACCCCGGGGACTGATCCCCCCGCATCAAGTTTCACCAGGGCGCCGGGGCTTTCCCAGGGCGTGGAAGCCTGTCCCTTCTACCCAGGACCCGTGGCTTCCAAGCTTCAGGAAGGGGTATCCTGAGAGGCTGGGCGAGGCTCTGCCCCAGGCAAGTGGCGGAAGGGAAATGAGAGTGGCAGGCCCAGGTAGCACTGGGGACCGGGCAGGGCAGGGCCAGGTGCCCCAAGGACAGCGGGCGAGGCGAGAGCGCCCAGCACTGTGGGTGTGGGGCTCCTGGGGCTGCTGGCATCGCCTTAGGAAAGAAGCAACGAATCCAGACTTTGATATAAAATCTCCTCGTTGAAGCAATGAAAACACTGAGTCTCAGACAAAACTCGCCTGCAGGCTGGGGAGGGCCCTCCAGAGAGGGCCGCGGTGAGCTGAAGGGCGCAGGCAGAGGGGCATGGAGGGCCCAGGGTGGGGTGGGGTGTTTGGGCCTAAACCTGGAATCTCGGTTCCCTGCTCTGCAAAATGGGTACATCAGCTTCAACCTGGCAGAGAGATCGTGCGAGTGCCCCTGGAGCTCCCCAGGGCCAGGCACACCGTGGGCTTTCTCAGGCCTCTGTGTGGCCCTCAGCAGGCTGGCATCCGGAGGGCAGCACTCCGAGGCCCGTGACACCCCGCCAGGCGCAGCCCAGCGGACTTGCAGGGTTCGGGACAATTCCTGGTGTCTTCGCTGCTACTTTCCCTTTCTCTCCCCAACCCAGAAAGCAGGCAGGAAGGCCCAGGTGTGAAGGGCCACAGGGAGAACGTGGGGCGTGTCCTGGCGTAGCTGGGGGAGCGAAAGCCAGCCATTCTCGCGGGGGCCAGCGCGCCTCACTCCGGCCGCGCGCACCCCAGGGCCGGCCCTTCCGCGCACTCAGTTGCCCGCCCTGGGCCCTCAGCCGTCCGAGGCCAGAGGAGACGGTGGGCGAGGCCTCCCGCCGCCCGGAGCAGGGCGGCCCGCAGCGGGCGCGCGCGCGGAGGCCCGTCTGGTGGCCGGAGCGGCTGGGGCGCGCGCGGCGGAGGAGGAGATGGCCTCGCGCCGCCGGAGGGAGGCGGGCGAGAGCCGAGGACGGCCGCCTGCAGACGCCGGCAAGGTGCGGAGCGGACTCCGAGAAGCAGCACGGCCCAGCGGACACCTGGATTGGGGCCAGGACAGCCAATAGCTCTGTTTTCCAGAACTGTTAAAATCATAAAAGCGTGTTGTTTTAACGTGCTGCATTTGTGGTGATTTGTCACTGCAACAAGAGGAAAAGGTACGGAAGCCGTGGGGGAGGAGCAGCTGGGCTGCGGCCAGTGGGAGCCCGGGCATCTGGGCGCCGGGCACGCTCCCACGGGACCCCGCCCACCCCCAAGGAGGGCCACATTCCTAGCTTAGGTGCAGCTGCGGACACAGCGGCGGCCTCACCACACCTGTGGCGTGGTGGACATGCACGCTGGCTCGGAGGAATTCACCTCAGACCTGGGGTTCCCTGACTCACCCCGGCTGGGCTGCAACATCCCACCCCCTCACCTCAACGATTGGTCCAGAAAAACCAGGACAGAGCCAGTCAGAGCTCTCTTGACCCCAGGACTGGCACAGAAATGGCCCAATCTGTATAAAGGCCAGAATCTCCGCAGGCTCTGCTGGATATCCTGTAAGTGAGGCCTGGAACCACTGCAGCCACTTTGTCATCCTGAGGGAGCTAAAAGCCAGAGAGGCAGGAGCAAGAGAAACAATAGTGAGAGATGAGGCCTGAGCTGGAACATAGCTGTGGAGAAGGCAGATGGGCCAGAAAGAGGAAGACTCAGGAGAGAGGACAAGGGACCTGGAGCTCCAAGGTGCCAGTGGAGGGAGGACAGCCTGTGGGGAAACTAAGCCACCACCACCTATCTCATCTACATTCTCCCCACACCAGCCAGAGGTGCCCTGAGAAAACCTAGGTCAGACCACCATGCTGCATTGTTCAGAACCAATGGGCTCCCCGGCCTCAGCTCGAGTGAAAACCGAAGTCCTTACTGTGGCTTCAGGCGCTGCTTGATCTGACCCCACGATCTCTCTGACCTCACCTCTCATCACCTTCCCCTTCACCCAGTCTGTTCCTCCCTGGCCTTGCTCTGTAGTTAACACACACCAGGGATGCACCTGCCGCAGGGCCTTTGCCCAGGCTGTGCCATCTGCCTACAATGCCCTCTCTCTGACATCTGGGTGGCTCACTCCTTCCTCTCTGGCAAGTCTTTCCCCAAAACCACCTTCCCAGTGAGCCCATCAGTGCCCAGCACCTCTAAACCTACAAAGCCTGTCATCATCCACCCCATTTGCTTCCTGGATTTGCACCCTAATGGGTAGCACAGATCATCATTTGCCCATTCGTTTCATTAATTGGTTCTAGCTCCCCAGGGCAGGGACTTTCTCTTCTCCCAGGCCCGGGTCTCACACAGAGTGGGAGCAAATAAATGCACACTTGAATCAGAACCAGAAGGTCTTCAGGTGGAAGCTGAGCTCTGACCTTGATAACTGCCCCCACATACACACTCGCGCCCGGGGTCGCCCTTCACCTCCTGAGTGGCCCAGGGGGCAGACCTCTGGAGCCTGCACAGCAGCTTTGCCTTAGAAGAGCAGGCATTCCTGGGCGCTCCTCCCACCACCCGGCCCCAGGCCTCCAGTGCACCGGGCACGTGAGCCAACAGGCCAGCACACGCGGGTTCCAGCAGTGAGGGCGCACCACCAGCCCCCACCCTGGGAGAGCCCGAAAGCTGCTGCCCGCTCGGGCCCCACTCCCAGCACACACACCACAAGCACCCACCCACCACGGCACACTCGTGCGCACACATATGCCATGCACACACACGCTCCTTTTGGAAATTCTAGAATCTTGGAACCTTAGAATTTTGAAAACGTATTTATTTGCATTTGGCATACGTTCTGTTCTTGAAAGCCTGGGATATGGCAAATTTCTAGACCTTCAGATCCCTCAAGAGCCAAACCAGAAAGGCCCCATGAGATCGCTCCATGGCAGGG